TAGTAAACGACCACTGAAAAGGTCACATTAGTAAACGACCTCTGAAAAGGTCACATTAGTAAACGACCACTGAAAAGGTCACATTAGTGAACGACCACTGAAAAGGTGACATTAGTGAACGACCACTGAAAAGGTCACATTAGTAAACGACCACTGAAAAGGTCACATTAGTGAACGACCACTGAAAAGGTCACATTAGTGAACGACCACTGAAAAGGTCACATTAGTGAACGACCACTGAAAAGGTTACATTAGTGAACGTCCACTGAAAAGGTCACATTATTGAACGACCACTGAAAAGGTCACGTTAATGAACGACCACTGAAAAGGTCACGTTAATGAACGACCACTGAAAAGGTCACATTAGTGAACGACCACTGAAAAGGTTACATTAGTGAACGTCCACTGAAAAGGTCACATTAGTGAACGTCCACTGAAAAGGTCACGATAATGAACGACCACTGAAAAGGTCACGTTAATGAACGACCACTGAAAAGGTCACGTTAATGAACGACCCCTCTACACAACCGCATCACATTCACTTCACCAACCAAATCTCCACACAACCACATCACACTCACTTCACCAACCAAATCTCCACACAGCAACATCACATTCCCTTCACCAACCAAATCTCCACACAGTCACATCACATTCACTTCACCAACCAAATCTCCACACAACCACATCATATTCACTTCACCAACCAAATCTCCACACAACCACATCACATTCACTTCACCAACCAAATCTCCACCTTAGCCTCATATAGGTCTCACTTGACCGTGTGGCTCCCACTTGCCTGTGTGGCTCCCACTAGACTGTGTGGGTCTCTGTGGACCGTTTGGCTCCCACTTGACCGTGTGGCTCCCACTTGACCGTGTGGCTCCCACTAGACGTGTGGTTCACACTTGACCATGTGGCTCCCACTGGATTGTGTCGTTCCCACTGGACCATGTGGCTACCACTAACCCGTGTGGCTCTCACTGGACCGTGTGGCTCCCACTGAACTGTGTTTCTCTCATTGGACCGTGTGGATCCAACTGGAACGCGTGCCTCCCACTGGTCCTCATGGACTGTGTGACTCCCATGGGTCCGTAGATTGGAAAATATTTGGAGAACAAGCTAAGTGGAAGGTGGGTGGTTTATTAAAGGGGGGGGGGGAGTAGTTTTTCAAAAATTGCATTTCAATATATTTAACTGTTAAATGCTGCTTATCCAATTTAACAAAACAAGGATTTGCGATGTTACCGATAAATTTTGCTAGCCCAAATAATGACGGCACAGATGTACTGGAGCAATTGGATAACTTACTTTTGATTACAAGTTAAACCAACAATTTTGAAGGTAATGATATTATATATCAGAATGAGCTATGCTGACCATAACGCCAAAGAACCGAACAGATTTAAATACGTTCGGATTCTTAAAAACGATCATGGTTGTTTTCTATTATTTTACGGAAGTCGAATAAATTTTAATGCGCAAAAAATATAATATATCAGCTTTTATTTTATTAAAAGCTTAAGTATTATTATTATCAATAACAAATACATTTAACGTGTCAATTAAGGAACTATTTTAAGCATTTTACCCGAATTTAAAAGTTATGAAAATTTTTTTTTTAATCAAACAATTATGCTCTAAGAATTACACCGTAATCACATTTATCGGCGAGAAAACCTAAACAAGAGTTGTTTTTAGTGCGTTAATATTGCAAAATAAAATTAAAATTAATTTGTTCTAATTAAACATGCAAATGACGTCATAGGGCGAATCACCTAAGTTAGCCAAAACAAGTGTCTTTGATTTAATAATCACGCGTGACAAAACTTATCATGTATTTCCCACTTCTTAAAAGTAAAATTAATAAATATAATTGATTGCTTTTTAAATTGTTAACAAAACACTCACACATTTTTGCTTTGTATTTTTAACATTTAATAAGTTTTTACTTTTTTATTTCTAAAAATATAATTTTATTTAAATTTATAACCTAATAAAATCTTAACCTTTAAATATACTTCTAATGAGAAAATGCCGTTAAAGTCAATCAGTGCAGCGATATTCCATAGACAAAACAGCATTCACTGATCCACTTATAACTCATCGAAATAAGAACAAAATTATATGAAATGCAAAATATATTAATTTGGGTATGGAAGGGACTCAATACCGGTGGAAGATTTTATTAATTTTATTTAAATCAGGGTGGGGGGGGGGAGCATTTTGCCCCATGCAGCACAAGATGCGTCTCAAAATAAAAGAATGAATTGGATAAATAATTAAACTTCTCGGGTACATACATATCAGAGGTAGGAAATAGAATGTGTACACTTTTACGTGGATGACAATTTATTTGAGTCCTATGGCAATACATTGTGAAAAAATGGATGTTACACTCTCTTCTTACAAATAAAAATGTTTACCAATAATAATTAAGAAAATCAATGGCTTTAACAAGACGTGGGTACAATTAAATAAGTGTACAGAAGAATATCAAAACCCAATCATGTTACACACTTGAACAATTTAATTTTGAAAAATGGAGCTGGGTTAATATATTTTTTTAATGAAAATATAGTTTTGTTTTTACTTTGCGAAAAGTAAAGTGGGTGTGTATTTTGATGAGATGAACAATTTGTGAAAAAAGACACTCAAGTCTGTTATAGATGTGAAAAACGGTTGCGAGATTCTTCTTTAGATAAGAGAATTCTTTGTTTTACGATTTTCTGATAATGTATAATAAAAAAAAACAAGACAAAAGTGTGTTTAAATTTTGATGAACATATCAATGTATCAAATTCCTTTCATATAAAATATTTTTATATCAATATATTGAGTTTAACTTGTAAATTTAAGATTATTATTATTATTTTTTTTTACAATTTTTAGAAGAAGAAAAAAGTTGTAATTCAAGGGCACGAAAAGGGGTAAATATGAAGTATTTCTGTAGTGAGAAATTCGTCCCTCAATTAACTTCTTTAGTGACAAAAGTGGTATAATTAGTGATAATTTAGATTGGGTCATTTAAGGTCATGTTTAGAGGGGGAAATAAGTAGTTTATGGTCGTGAAAGGGGGTAGGGTAGGCGTAAAATACATAGCAGATAAAAACTTATCAAAACTTAATGATGATAGAAACGTAAATATCATTACATTGCTACTTCTTTTTAAAGTTAGGAATTGTGATGAGTTTTTGCAAAACAGCAAGTAGAAATTATCGCAAAGAACTTATCTTTTTTATCACGATGACATCGTACAGAGTATAGAATGCCTTTTGCTTTTATTCAAAAAATTATCGCCTGTAAAAAAAAAAAATGAGTGGGTATGCAAGGTTGAGGGGTGGAGTATTGTAGAGAGTTCAGTCTCAGTACAGGAGCGGGGTAAACACACAGTCGAAGACTGACCAAATAAATTAAGACGTGGAATACCAATGGATGTCAACGGAGCGGGGGAAACCCACAGGCGAAGACTGACCAAATAAATTAAGGCGAGGAATGCAGCGGGGAGGGATGAGGGGCAAAACCCACGGCAGAGTTCAGTCCAGGTGTTTGGCGCGTAGCAGATAAATCAAGACTTAAGAAGGTAGGGGGCGTAATCTCTAGAGACGCCTCGGTTGGCTGGTGGACTTACAAATAGGGACCTCTGGACAGGACTGGACAGAACGCGGCCGGACAGAGAGCAGACAGGGAGGGAGAGCTCCGACGGTAGAGGAAGAGGGCAGTCAGAGTTGTGAGATGAGAGAAAGTATAAGCGAAGTGTCAGCCTAATAAAGAACAAGACTATAATCATCAGATGTTATCGCCTGAGTTGTTTCCTTAGTGAATGCCAGATATAGATGAAGGTTAGCAGAGAGTAAGCAAGGTTTCCTTACAGTATTTACTTAATGGATGGGGTAATGCCTTTAAGGGATGGGGTATTTCCTTAAGGGATGGGGTAATTCCTTTAAGAGATGGGGTAATTCCTTTAAGGGATGGGGTATTTACTTAAGGGATGGGGTAATTCCTTTAAGGGATGGGGTATTTCCTTTAAGGGATGGGAAATTTCCTTTAAGGGATGGGGTAATTCCTTTAAGGATGGGGTAATTCTTTTAAGGGATGGGGTGATTCCTTTAAGGGATGGGGTATTTACTTAAGGGATGGGGTAATTCCTTTAAGGGATGGGGTATTTCCTTTAAGGGATGGGAAATTTCCTTTAAGGGATGGGGTAATTCCTTTAAGGATGGGGTAATTCTTTTAAGGGATGGGGTAATTCCTTTAAGGGATGGGGTAATTCCTTTAAGGAATGGGGTATTTCCTTAAGGGATGGGGTAATTCCTTTAAGGGATGGGGTAATTCCTTTAAGGGATGGGGTATTTACTCATAAGGATGATGTATTTTCGTAATGGATGGTGTATTTCCTTGAAGGATGGGGTAATTCCTTAAGGGATGGGGTAATTCATTAAAGGATGGAGTATTTCCTTAAGGGATAGGGTAATTTAAATGATGGGGTAATTCATTAAGGGATGAGTAATTCCTTTAAGGTATGTGGTAATATCTCTTCTATATCCAAGGCATCATTGGTCAGCATTTGTTTGAGAACCACGGTTTAAACGGTTTGACGTATTGAACACATTGCTTTCTGTTGTTGACCGGATACATAACAAATGTCACAAATCGAACATGTATGCGCTGTCTACATCCGTGATTCATCCCAACCCATTGGCTGACCGAAACCGGATGTGACACTTGAAAATATATTTTTCAGCTTTATTTCCTTCGCGTCAGTGAACTTACCTGAGATGCACTTCAAATTTTATTTATGGCACAAAACAGGGGTTTTGGGGGTGGGGGGTGGGGGTCCGCTTTCAAAGACTGGTAGCTATAGTTGCCCCCTGTATTTACTATCCCCCCCTACCCATGCCCTCTCGCCCATTTTCGCTCCGCCTTAGATTTTATAAAGGTTGTGACTCAATTTATGGAACTGTTTGTTCCCTATAAAAGCTGTTGTGTAGTGCTGTACAAATGACAAAGGATATTACCAAGGCGTTATTCCACAATGGGGTTGTTAAGAGGTTTTATTTTATCCTCTGTGAGTAAAACTGTCTTGTACAATGGGTTTGTTTTATGAAAAAAAATATTTTAAAACGATTTAAATCCATAGGCTGTATGTTGCTAAAGAGGCAAGGCTGCAACAAGCCAGTGAGACAATATGAGGTTTGAGAGTATGTTGTTACATAGGAAGGCTGCAATATGGGGTTTGAGAGTATGTTGTTACAGGAGGAGGCTGCAAGCTACTGAGACAATGGGGGGTTTGAAAGTATGTTGTTACAGGGCAAGGCTGCAAGCAATATGGGGGTTGAGAGTATGTTGCTACAGGGGCACTGCTGCACCCCACCGAGACAATATGGGGGTTGAGAGTATGTTGTTACAGAGCCAGGCTGTAGGCTGTAAGCCACTGAGGCAATATGGGGTTTGAGAGTATGTTGCTACAGGACGAGGCTGCAAGCCACTGAGACAATGGGGAGGGGGGGGGTTGAGAGTATGTTTTTACAGGGCAAGGCTTTAAGCCACTGAAGCAATTTGGGGTTGAGAGGGGGAGCATCTTGGAGTGCTATTCTATCCTCTGTGTACCAATGCTCCACAGGTGTGTCTGAATTTGCTGACACACGTCGATGAGGCCGTGTGTTGTTCTTTAGAGAACATGTGTGCTCTTGACCCCTGCACACCTCCCACATTCTGCCGTATCATTCAGAAGTGTACCGACGGCTCGTGCCCCCCTCAAGCTTCTTGTCTCGATTGTTTGCCTAAAGGTGAGAGCTATTGATTAACGTATGCGGTAGATGCTATGACGTGATGTTTAAACATCAGACGCAGATAGTTTATGCCCGCTGAGTAAAATTACCCTTGAAAACGCGTCCAGTATAAAGTGTCAATTTATTTTCATGTCGTGGGAAAACCTCCCCTTAAAGTTCTTCTTATTAACATTTTCCACTCAGAGCTGACACATTTTTTTTTATTGATTCTCGATTAGCGAATATGCGCGTGTGTGTTCGTGTCTGTAATTTTTTTTTTTTTTAAATTTTGTTTTTTGAAGTGTTGTAAATAACAAATGTTGTCAGTTAGACTTAGACGCTCTACTTAGACGATGTGTATGTTTTAACACTTCTGTAAGAGTTATCTCAAAGATCTTTTCGCGCCTTTTGTATCTAAAAATAAAGTACGGTCTCACACAGTCTTCTGTGTGTCCTCAACTCTTAATGGATTGGGGGGGGGGGCAGTGGTTTAGCGAGAGATTGTGCCGACCGGGGGCGATATTAGTGTTTGCTGCCATCCCACCCCTCGAAAACACGATATATATTATGCTTTTTGGCACAGTGAAACCTGGAAATAAAGAGCTTTGCAGTAACGCTGCTCCTGTCATATGCACCAACTCGCCCTTCAATGGACCAATTTTTTTTTTCACCCAAGATGAACCAGCAAATAGCAGCATCCCGGAAATAGCACCACTTTTGGTTTGGTCCCAATTCCCAATGGGTTTGAGCTACTTATTTCCAAGTTTCAGTAATGCATATATAAAAGTGTCTTACGTCACTTTTATCAGAAGTTGGGGTGTGTGTTTGTGTGTGTGTGTGTGTGGGGGGGGGATTAAGAGACCATGCATAGACAGCTATGTGTCCCCTTGTTGACCCTACCCAGAGCCTAAAAAGCCTTAATCCAACCAGGCATAGTCAGCTATGTGTCCCCATGTTGACCCTACCCAGAGCCTAAAAAGCCTTAATCTAACCATGCATCCAACCAAGGAAAAATTAGTGTGCAAACTCATGTATAATTACATCTGACACAGGCCTTCAAGATTTTAGCTGTCACCATCCAATCAGTCCGCAACACCCCCCCCCCACCCAATTTAAACGTCCGATATTTTACCTTTACTTGGGGTAATCCCACCTTTACTTGGAGAACCACTGATTAGACTTTAGTGTTTCACGGACCACTGACCTATATTTCCAGGTATCGATGATGTTTGCAACAGAAATCGCTACATATACGCTGTGTTGGTTTGGGGAACCAATGACAAGTAAGTAGGTCATTTCACTATAATTATATTCTTGTCTTTTCTGGATTTTTGTATTGTTTTATTTCTACTGTCGGTATATTCAATCTGTTGTATCATTATCCCCCGAAAAGAAAAAAAGTTGGGAGAATAATTATGCTATAACGTGGAGAATACCTATGCTATAACGGGCAAAATACCTATGCTATAACGGGCAAAATACCTATGCTATAACAGGGAAAATACCTATGCTATAACGGGGAAAATACCTATGTATGCTATAACGAGGACAATACCTATGCTATAACTGGCAGGTTGATGAAAATTCTTTCGTTCACTATGACATTTATTGAAATATCCTAAGTTCAAATCTTACCCCCAAATTAACGACAATTCGGGAACCGCTGCTCAAAGTCCGAATAAGTGACATTCTTCGTATTCTCTGGAAACCAACACCGATTCAGAAATAAATATCCTGTAACTTATTTAATTCCATAATTTAAATGTTTCAGATTCCCGACTACTCGAAGTTGTGACCCAAGTCTGCCAAGCGTCGAACCAAATTGCCCCGAAGGATCGGTCTGCGTCCCTGGTGCACGTGGTCGAGGCACTTGCTGCTACGGGAAACCAGAACCAGGCGATGAGACCGCCCTAGGAAACCAGCCCACGTGTCCGGTCAAGAACCCTACCTGCCGCCCGAAATGCAAGAGGGGCTACTCTTGTCAAGAAATTATCGTCCAGTGTTACGTCCCCCCGTGTGAAAATGTATTCGAATGCCTTCCGGAAGAAAAACCTGGCAACTGCCCAATGTTGCCTCTTTACGTTCCGGACGACTGCCCGAGAAACGAACGAAATTCGTGTTCCATAGACGCAGACTGTTACTACAATTATAAATGCTGTTCTGATCAGTGCGGGATACGTGGTTGTCAGATTCCGTTCAGTAAATGATTCTTGAAAATACATTTTCATAATTTTTTATTTAAATAAAATTATATTAGTTCTTTTTTATTATGCAAATCATTGTTTCAGATTCTGATAAAAATGTTGAGGAAAGTTACACAAGCGGTGATGCATTGTCACCTTAAATGGAACAAATATACAGTTATGTCATACATTGTTAAAATAATGAGATCTTTCAGCTGTAGTCAACATTGTCATACATTAATAAAATAATGAGATCTTTCAGCTGTTGTCAACATTGTCATACATTAATAAAATAATGAGATCTTTCAGCTGTTGTCAACATTGTCATACATTAATAAAATAATGAGATCTTTCAGCTGTTGGCAACATTGTCATACATTAATAAAATAATGAGATCTTTCAGCTGTTGTCAACATTGTCATACATTAATAAAATAATGAGATCTTTCAGCTGTTGGCAACATTGTCATACATTAACAAAATAATGAGATCTTTCAGCTGTTGTCAACATTGTCATACATTAATAAAATAATGAGATCTTTCAGCTGTTGTCAACATTGTCATACATTAATAAAATAATGAGATCTTTCAGCTGTTGGCAACATTGTCATACATTAATAAAATAATGAGATCTTTCAGCTGTTGTCAACATTGTCATACATTAATAAAATAATGAGATCTTTCAGCTGTTGTCAACATTGTCATACATTAATAAAATAATGAGATCTTTCAGCTGTTGTCAACATTGTCATACATTAATAAAATAATGAGATCTTTCAGCTGTTGTCAACATTGTCATACATTAATAAAATAATGAGATCTTTCAGCTGTTGGCAACATTGTCATACATTAATAAAATAATGAGATCTTTCAGCTGTTGGCAACATTGTCATACATTAACAAAATAATGAGATCTTCCTGCTGTTGGCAACATTGTCATACATTAATAAATAATGAGATTTTACAGGTGTTATAAAAAACGTCATAGTTTTTTATGAAGCCTTGAAAATGTCGGTCTATGGTAATTCAAATTGCATGAGTTAAATAGGGCGCAAAGGAGGAACATATGAGCTGTATTATCTCTACTTAAAGTGTGTTTTTTATGGAAAAGATACATTTCTAAAGTATGTGTTATATGACCTAGTCAGGTAAGGTACTAAAGATGCATATCAAAGATGCTTAGTCTATTGTGGAGGGACATGGTCGTGGACATAATATAATAATACAGGGACAGCTATAGATACCGGTCAATGATGCCCCACCCCCCCCCACTTTCACGGTGTGATGGTGTGTGTGATGGTGGGTATGATGGTGTGTGTGTCACGTTGTGTGTCATGATGAAGGTAGGTGTGATGGTGGGTGTGATGGTGGGTGTGATGGTGGGTTTAATCGTGGGTTTGATGGTGGGTGTGATGGTGGGTGAGATGGTGGTGTGATGGTGGGTGTGATGGTGGGTGTCATGGTGGGTTTGATGGTGGATGTGATGGTGGGTGTGATGGTGGATGTGATGGTGGGTGTGATTTTGGGTGTGATGGTGGGTGAGATGATGGGTGTGATTGTATCTGGTATGTTGAGTGTGATGGTGTGTGTGATGGTGTGTGATGTTGTGTGTGATGGTGGGTGTGATGGTGGGTGTGATTTTGTGTGTGATGGTGGGTGTGATGGTGGGTGTGATGGTGGGTGTGATGGTGGGGGTGATGTTGGGTGTGATGATGAGTGTGATTTGGATGTGATGGTGGGTGTGATGATTTAAGTGATGGTAAGAGGAGAACTTGAGGTGGGGCGTGGGGGGGGGGAAATGTAAAGGAAGGGGAAGGCGTAGAAAATGAATTTGGGGGTTGACATGGAGCAGTTGTACTTTTGGAAGGGGGGGGGGAGAAGGTTGGTGAAATAACGTGTGGCTATTGGTGGCTATTGGTGTCAATTGGTGTCTATTGGTGTCTATTGGTGTCTATTGGTGTCTATTGGTGGCTATTGTTGGCTATTGGTGGCTATTGGTGGCTATTGGTGGCTATTGGTGGCTATTGGTGGCTATTGGTGGCTATTGGTGGCTATTGGTGGCTATTGGTGGCTATTGGTGGCTATTGGTGGCTATTGGTGGCTATTGGTGGCTATTGGTGGCTATTGGTGGCTATTGGTGGCTATTGGTGGCTATTGGTGGCTATTGGTGGCTATTGGTGGCTATTGGTGGCTATTGGTGGCTATTGGTGGCTATTGGTGGCTATTGGTGGCTATTGGTGGCTATTGGTGGCTATTGGTGGCTATTGGTGGCTATTGGTGGCTATTGGTGGCTATTGGTGGCTATTGGTGGCTATTGGTGGCTATTGGTGGCTATTGGTGGCTATTGGTGGCTATTGGTGGCTATTGGTGGCTATTGGTGGCTATTGGTGGCTATTGGTGGCTATTGGTGGCTATTGGTGGCTATTGGTGGCTATTGGTGGCTATTGGTGGCTATTGGTGGCTATTGGTGGCTATTGGTGGCTATTGGTGGCTATTGGTGGCTATTGGTGGCTATTGGTGGCTATTGGTGGCTATTGGTGGCTATTGGTGGCTATTGGTGGCTATTGGTGGCTATTGGTGGCTATTGGTGGCTATTGGTGGCTATTGGTGGCTATTGGTGGCTATTGGTGGCTATTGGTGGCTATTGGTGGCTATTGGTGGCTATTGGTGGCTATTGGTGGCTATTGGTTGCTATTGGTGGCTATTGGTGGCTATTGGTGGCTATTGGTGGCTATTGGTGGCTATTGGTGGCTATTGGTGGCTATTGGTGGTTATTGGTGGCTTTTGGTGGCTATTTTTGGCTATTGGTGGCTATTGGTTGTTATTGGTGGATATTGGTGGCTATTGTTGGCTATAGGTGGCTATTGGTATCTTTTGATGGCCATTAATGGCTATTGGTGGCTTTTGGTGGCTATTGATGTTCATTGGTGGCTATTGGTGGCTATTGGTTGCTATCGGTGGCTATTGGTGGCTATTGGTTGCTGTTGGTGGCTATTGGTGGCTATTGGTGGCTATTGGTGGCTATTGGTGGCTACTGGTTCCTATTGGTGGCTACTGGTGGCTATTGGTGGCTATTGGATGCTATTGGTTTTTATTGGTGGCTTATGGTAGCTATTGGTGGCTAATTGTGGCTATTGGTGTGATTGGGGGCTAATTGTGTCGATTGGTGGGTATTGGTAACAATTGGTGGCTATTGGTGGCTATTGGTGGCTATTGGTGGCTATTGGTGGCTATTGGTGGCTTATTGTGGCTATTGGTGGCTATTGGTGGCTATTGGGGGCTATTGGTGGCAGTTGGTGGTATTTGTGGCCTTTGATGGGCATTGGTGGCTATTGGGGGCTATTGGTGGCTATTGGTGGCTATTGGTGGCTATTGGTGGCTATTGGTGGCTATTGGTGGCTATTGGTGGCTATTGGTGGCTATTGGTGGCTATTGGTGGCTATTGGTGGCTATTGGTGGCTATTGGTGGCTATTGGTGGCTATTGGTGGCTATTGGTGGCTATTGGTGGCTATTGGTGGCTATTGGTGGCTATTGGTGGCTATTGGTGGCTATTGGTGGCTATTGGTGGCTATTGGTGGCTATTGGTGGCTATTGGTGGCTATTGGTGGCTATTGGTGGCTATTGGTGGCTATTGGTGGCTATTGGTGGCTATTGGTGGCTATTGGTGGCTATTGGTGGCTATTGGTGGCTATTGGTGGCTATTGGTGGCTATTGGTGGCTATTGGTGGCTATTGGTGGCTATTGGTGGCTATTGGTGGCTATTGGTGGCTATTGGTGGCTATTGGTGGCTATTGGTGGCTATTGGTGGCTATTGGTGGCTATTGGTGGCTATTGGTGGCTATTGGTGGCTATTGGTGGCTATTGGTGGCTATTGGTGGCTATTGGTGGCTATTGGTGGCTATTGGTGGCTATTGGTGGCTATTGGTGGCTATTGGTGGCTATTGGTGGCTTTTGGTGGCTATTGGTTGCTATTGGTGGCTATTGGTGGCTTTGGTGGCTATTGGTGGCTATTAGTCTTTATTGGGGGCTATTGGTCTTTATTGGTGGCTATTGGTGGCTATTGGTGCCTAATTGTGGCTAATTGGGGCTATTGGTGTTTATTGTTGTTTATTGGTGGCTATTGGTGGCGATTTGTGTCTGTATGTGGGTCTTGGTGGCTATTGGTGGCTATTGGTGGCGATTTGTGTCTATTGGTGGCTATTGGTAGCTAATGGTGGCTATTGGTGACTATTGGTGGCTATTGGTGGCTATTGGTGGCTATTGGTGGCTATTGATGTCCATTGGTGGCCATTGGTGGCTATTGGTGCTTATTGGTGGCTATTGGTGTCTATTGGTGGCTATTGGTGGCAATTGGTTGCTATTGGTGGCTATTGGTGGTTATTGGTGGCTATTGGTGGCGAATTGTGTCTATTGGTGGGTATTGAAGGCTATTGGTGTCTATTGGTGGTGATTTGTGTCTATTGATGGCGATTTGTGTCTATTGGTGGCTATTGGTGGCGATTTATATCTATTGATGGGTATTGGTGGGTATTGGTGAATATTGGTGGCTATTGGTGGCTATTGGTGGCTAATTGTGGCTATTGGTGGCTATTGGTGGCTATTGGTTGCTATTGGTGGCTATTGGTGGCTATTGGTGGCTATTGATGTCCATTGGTGGCTATTGGTGGCTAATTGTGTCGATTGGTGGGTATTGGTAACAATTGGTGGCTATTGGTGTTTATTGGTGGCTATTGGTGGTTTTTGGTGGCTATTGGTCGGTATTGGTGGCTATTGCTGGCTATAGGTGGTTATTGGTGGCTATTGGTTGCTATTGTGGTTATTGGTGGCTATTGGTGGCTATTGGTGTTTATTGGTGGCTATTGGTTTGCGATTTGTGTCTATTATTGGGTATTGGTTGGTATTGGTGGGTATTGGTGGCTATTGGTGGCTATTGGTGGCTATTGGTGGCTATTGGTGGCTATTGGTGGCTATTGGTGGCTATTGGTGGCTATTGGTGGCTATTGGTGGCTATTGGTGGCTATTGGTGGCTATTGGTGGCTATTGGTGGCTATTGGTGGCTATTGGTGGCTATTGGTGGCTATTGGTGGCTATTGGTGGCTATTGGTGGCTATTGGTGGCTATTGGTGGCTATTGGTGGCTATTGGTGGCTATTGGTGGCTATTGGTGGCTATTGGTGGCTATTGGTGGCTATTGGTGGCTATTGGTGGCTATTGGTGGCTATTGGTGGCTATTGGTGGCTATTGGTGGCTATTGGTGGCTATTGGTGGCTATTGGT